ATCGAGGCAAATGTCAAAAAATGGGGATTGGCACCGATGACAGGAAGCCTTGCACCACCTCCACCTTATGGGAGCGAGCAAGGTAGCATCCTGCTCGAGACCGGGAGAGAGGGAACGCGGCAGTCACCATATGAGCCCGGACATTCAAGAACACGCAGTGGTCTGGCGAGGCTTGGTCTTCCAGCTGGCAACCCTGGGCCTGTTCGTTCAGCCACAGATATATCACTGGCCCAACTGGCGCATATATCGACTCATGACGTTCCCAGCCAGGGCAACGCGCTTCTGGACATCGCAGATATACAGAATCAGCCTGTGGAGAATACCCCTGCTGGACAGCAGATTATACCACCCCCCGAGTATAGCAGCCCTCCAGGGAGCCGGAGATCAAGTGGTGACGGCGACGAAGACGAAAGACAAGAGCTGTTGCGTGATCGCACCGGAGGACCGCCCATCCCCACCTACGATGTTGCTGTAGGCGAAGCGGCAGGACCCAGCCATACATGACGAGATACCCCTGAGCATGAAATAAATATTCTTTATGACTATGAGTGTAACTACATACGGCATGGATTGTTTTGTTCTGGTTAGCAAGCAGCGAGGCTCAGTTTTCAGACGAGTGTTCATTATGTAGGGCTGAGTTATCTGTCGCACGATTTGCTTATGAAGAATGCATACAAGGTACTCGGTACCTCGTACACCTCAACCTGTCGGTTCCTGTGCGCTGTACAAGGTGCCCATAGGTGTGGATCCTCCTGCATGGTTACCCCTCGGCGTGGCCAGAACAATTCTAAGAACTGGCGGCACCCATGGGTGCCAGGGAGTTGCATGCTCGATTATGAAAGAAATTCGTCATGCACGAGCTTCCGGAGAAACGATGCTGGCCACTCACTAGCCAACCGACAGGATATGCCTTCTTATTAGGGATCCCCGACCGTTGAGGCCGCCTGCACGCGTTCGGTTTGCATTCAAACCTCGTATTCAGTTCCGTCCTAAGAACCCCCCCTGGGGCCATGACCAATTACTCTTTTTTAGGGAGGTAGCTGAGGAATGCAATGTCCCCTGCCTCCTGGTAATCACCACCTCTCATCCTCTACCGTCCCCGAGCATAAATACAAGAATGACGCAGCCGCTGGCGTCTCTCCTCACAAAATGCGGGACGCAAGAAGTTGACAAACTGAACTATTGGCATGAACATGCTTTTTCCACTCTTATTTGACTTTAGCATATTGTTTGTTGCTGGAATGTGACATTCGTCTATCCTTATCATTGTCACGTCGATCCTGTGCTTTGATAGCCAGTCTGAGTCTGGAACATACCTCGCTAGACAATGCCTGCGTCGAAGGTTACTGCTGCACACATTCCAACGCTCGTAACCTCCTACATCTGCTACGTGCAATGAGACCCCCCTTGAGTAATTGACGTGTCGACATTCGCGGAGAACGACAGCTCGCTTCCCTCCAGCATTTGAACCCCGTTTGGTCCAACTGATCTTCATCCTCACTCCACCTGTTCTCCCGCCGTTTCGGCCTCAGTCTGAAGCAGCTACCCGAGACCCCTCCCGAAACTTGGATCAACCCGGACCAGACCGAGATCTAAGGGATTTGCGGACAGAGAACAAAGACATTGTGAGGCAAGCCACCGCAGCACAAAGAGTGGGACGCGGGAAACAATCAAACAAAGATCTGTGCAGGGAAGACAAAAGCCCTCGATGCGTGGGAAGCATGCCTCACAAGATGCAGGCCCAGAGCCTCGCGAACTGGGCAATAAAGAAGAGGCGTCTTTTCAGGTGATAGTGCTGGGGTCTACCGGTGGCCCTCGCGAGGACAATATCACAGGAATGTTGGTGAGGGCGCCTCAGTCGGAATGGCGCAAGAGTTCCATGATCGCGGTTGATGCTGGGGCGCACTTGTCCAGCATGATCCGCATCCTTCAGAGAGAAATGCCGTTGATGTCTGAGAAAGTACCGCCAAAGGGATACTCGCAACTGTTGGAAAAGGGACCTTTTGCAGGCCTTCGCTTTCCAAACATCAGTGCGAAAGCCAATGCACTCTACATCTTCCGCGAAATCCTCCATGGCTTTCTCATCACGCATCCACATCTGGATCATCTCTCGGGCATGGCCATCAACACTCCGGCGCTCGAATATGGCAGAGAGGCGAAAGCAATTGTGGCTTTACCCTCCACAATTGAAGCCATCAAGAATCACATTTTCAACGACTGGCTCTGGCCAAACTTGTCGGACGAAGGCAATGGAGTTGGCTTTGTGACCTACAGACGGCTAATCGAAGGCGGAAATCCCAGGCTAGGACTGGGTGAGTCTCGAGGCTATGTCAATGTCTGCGATGGGTTGGCAACCAAATGCTGGAGCGTGAGCCACGGCAAATGCCAGAGGAGGTCACACAGTGCGTCCTTCCAGCATGGCGACTCTTTCGGGTATGCGTCCGAATACAACTTTCCCTCTAGGAGACTATCGCGGATATCGGACGATCATGGCTATTTTGCTGCTGTCGCTCAGCAACAATCACAGAATGCTGGTGCCTATCCTCCAGGGCCAGTTCAGACGTCGACTGGTCCAGTAACGCCGGGCGGGCCTCTTGCCTCGAACATTCTGGACAACTGCCATCTTTTTGAGCCAGTCTCGAGTTCTGCATTCTTCATTCGCAACGACGCGACGGGCAACGAGCTGCTCATCTTTGGCGATGTCGAACCCGATTCGGTAAGTCTGTCGCCTCGCAACCACATCATCTGGGATGACGCGGCTGGTAAAGTTGCCAGTGGGATGCTTAAAGGTATCTTCATCGAGTGTTCGTATGACGACAGCGTACGCAACGAGGATCTTTACGGGCACCTCTGCCCAAGACACCTGGTTGCCGAGCTCACCTTTCTGGGCAATTGTGTTATGAGTCGGCGTAAACAAAAGACCTCCTATGACGCTGTTGTCGCGGACACAAACCCAGATAGCCCGAATCCCACCCGACCTGCCGAAGCCTTATCGGTACCCGATCTGATGATACGACAGCCGCCGACACCGTCAGAGCTGAAGCGCAAACGAAAGCGGGCGGTGAATGGAGATCTCGCCGTTACGCCGGAGGTCACACGCGCCAACTTCGACGGCTTGCCTTCACCACAACCTATACCCAGCGGGTACGTAGGACATCGATCTGTGTCGTCGACGCGCCAAAAGCGCTCACACGAGCCGCGAGAAGGCGACCACGCAGCGATCTCGTCTACTCCAGGACGTGGGCGTAGCGTCACCTTCCAGGCGGACTCTGCCACTACGCCTGTCCAACCTCTAAGTGATCTTGCACTCGCATCAGCAACAATACCGACAACCCAGAATCACCAACATTCATCTTCCCTCTCAAACATCCAGCGAGAAAGACTCCCCGAACCTCTAAAAGGCGTGACAGTACATATTATTCATGTCAAGGATACGCTGATGGATGGTCCTGCCCCAGGAGATGTGATTCTGGGACAGCTACGAGCTCTGGGTGAGGAGGCAGGGTTAGGATGTGATTTTAATGTGACGAATTGTGGGGACAGTATCTGGGTTTAGCCAGGATGAAATTGCCCTGGGGAATGTAATCGAGAACTATCATGAGATTGCAGCACTGGCTTGGAGTAAAGTCTTTGGGAATTCGATGGCGGCAACGATCATGGCGCTTGGACTGAATGTGGGGGTGACATCTGGTGGTGAAGGCCTTGTTCGAGTATCAATTCCCGAGCGTTAGCAATTTCTATATGAATCAACAATTGATATTTGGCTTTTGTTCTCGAGCACGAGGCTGAAGAATGACTTGACGAGGCTGAACCCATTGATTGAATCAATGTGCGTCCTGGTAGATCAACCCATTCACTCCTGATCGATCCTTGGCGCATCAATCAGGCTCTGATTCAACAGAGATTCGCTCCTCTCATCTTCACTGCTTCTCTATACCTTCCTCCCTGAGAAGAGACCTCTACTAAGATCAACAATCGCCAAGAGGACGACCTCAATGTCGGGTACTTAAACCTCTTCGTCTTCCCAATTTTTTGAAACTTGTTCTTTCTTTCTTTTTTTCTTTTCCTCGAGTTGCCCAAGGTAAGCGTAGGCAAACACTGAGGCGCCTCCAGTCCAGCAGGGAGTGTGTGTACCATTGCCCCCTCTCCTCTTCTTCTTCTCTTGCCCCCTTTTGTTCTCTTGGGCTCTATCCCCTGCCTTCTGTTTTCCTTTTGTTATCCCCTACGTTGTTCTTCTCTTGGGCTCTGGTACACACGAGTTCCTGGCCGGGTGGCCTGGGTTGGAGGCGGGTTGGATGGTGTGTCTTGGTTTTCCAAGGCCGGGTCCTCAGTTCAATGTTCAACATTTTTCCCTTCTCCCTTGCGTGTGTTCTTACTTACTGAATCAAAACCTTGTGCTCTAGGTTGTTCTTCCTTCATGGATCTCTTTTCATCATCGCTTGAGCTTTACGCTCGACTTTGGAGAAGAGCAGATGTCCATCCATCCACCTCATCCATCAGTGCTGCGTAGTAGTAGTAGTAGTAGTAGTAAGGAACAGGCAGTGGGAGAGACTGTTGTTTCTCTTATAGTGACTGACAGTAAAGCCGTGTTGACGACTGTCATGTTATGTCGTCGCCGCCCCTGAAAGTCCCTTTGCGCCCCCGAGGACCCATTCGCGCTGCTCGTTCAACCCCCCCCCCCCCCCCTTCCTGAATAGAGGCTTTAGCCTCCCATCAATCACTGAAGCGCCAAATCTGCGAGGCCCAATCTTTCAAGCAATCAAGCCTCTGATGCAGCAACTCCATCGGCATGATTAGAGCACTTCACCAGGATTGTACCGGCAAAATCAATACGCACAGGAGCCAGGGACACATTTGTGGGACTGAGGTGACATTCCAATCAACAGAGTTCATCTCCATCACAACAATCAAGAATCTCTCTCTGAACGTGGCCACAAGCTGACATCTTTTGCGTACACAGACACATATCGAGTGTTGGAACAAATCAACACCACACCCAGTCATCCAACCAAGCACCAAAGACCACCTACGACCCAGAAAACCGACCTCGTCGCGTGCAACCGTGCAGCATTCCTCTCCAAATCCCCGCCTTTACCCTCTTCAGCAACCCACAGATTCACCCACGCATCCACGATCGGCGTCAACGCGTTTACGGTGATGACGAGGCCGAGACTTCTCTGCACGGCTGCCCGCGCCACGGGCGATGTCCGACACCGTTGGCCAAATTGCCAGTACGCTGTAAGAGCCAGGATCGATAATCCCAATGTAAGATTGCGGATGCCGTGGGGGTAGATGTACGTCATACGCCTCAAGCTGTCGAGATTTGACGAACTCGGAGACGCAGCCAGTGCTCGGACCATGTATCCTCCAAACGCCGCCGCCGCTGATTTGGGAGATGTGAAGCTCCATAGGCCGACGATGAATGCCCCTGAGCCTATCAGAGTGGTCAGAACTGGGAGGGCCGAGCGTGGCAGTCGAAGAACAGACATCGCTGTCTGAACTACGACTCACTCGTTAGAGTGATACCAGCTCTGCAAATTCAACATTCGGGTGCATGCCAGTCAATCGCAGGGAGGCAGCAAGGCTTTACAGAGCAGATAGCCCTGACGTCTACAATTTCCGCTGTGGGCCTCACAAAGGAAACCCCACGGTTGATTATCGGACGGATACATACTGTGGTCTATAAAGCCAGGCACACGAAATTATGGCGCCATCGTCCCGCTCTCATTCCCCAAATCTCAGGTGATGCACCAGCCTCGATTACGAAAAAAGTTGCTGGCAGTTAGTCTCTTTCTTACCTGGCAGAGTTCTCTGATCCATCCAAAAGCTGGTCAAGAAAAAGCTTGGAAAGGCTTCTACACTGCAAGGAGATTCCTCTCATAATTGACAGTTGCATCCCCGACACAGACTCTTTGAAGGAAACCAGCAGCGCAAAAGATCGTGGACATGTCCGAACAACATTCCCACTCTCACACGCACGATCACTCGCATGGTCACGACCACCCGCACTCGCACACTGGCCCGGTTCACCTGTTTCACGCAAACTCCGCAAGCGATCTACCTCCGGATGGATGGAAAGAGAGCGGCGTCCGGGTCATCCCCGGCGACCACCTCGATGCCAACACGGCGCAGACACCGGGAATGAGTCGTGCCGCGGCCATCACGACCGCGAGGACGGGGGCGCAGAAACTGTGGGCCGGCACCGTCAAGATCCACCCCAACGCCAAAACCGGCGCCCACCACCACGGCCATTTGGAAAGTGTCATCTACATAGTCAAGGGCAAGGCGCGAATGCGCTGGGGCGACAGGCTAGAGTACACGGCCGAGGCCGGCCCGGGAGATTTCATCTACGTGCCACCCTACGTGCCGCACCAGGAGATCAATGCCAAGGAGGACGAGGAGCTCGAGTGCGTCTTGATGAGGAGTGACGGCGAGGCCATCGCGGTGAACCTCCCTGATGTCGTCCCGGTGGAGAACCCAGAGGGAGTGAAATGGATCGATCCTACGCACCCGACTGGCGGCGTGTGATGGGATGGGCCTTGATATTAGCAGTCTCAGTCGACACGAGCATATCATAACGGACATATATACACAATGACAAACACCAATTTCCGAACAATTATGTATGTGATGTGTGCTGGTGAGCGGAAATGGCTTCACACGAGCGTCGAATTATCCCTGTTTCTGAATTTTGCTTCGTTGTGTTATGCTCCATACCGTGAGAGGCAGCGCAGTCTCTGACGCCAGAAGAACCGTGCTGCTGCAGATCTCAAGGTCACAACGAGTCGGATTATAGGGCAATAATATGCTGTATGGGGGCGATGATGTGTCTGAAGAGGGAACGCAGGTGACATAATCGGTGTCTGCTAGTTGAACTGCGCTCTTTCGTGGACGTGGGCATGGTTGAGGTTGTCTCTCTCTTTTCTGCACTAATTGGCTTACCTACCCTCTCTGCCTTCATACACTCTGACTAAGGTTGAAACCTCTCAGGTCCTGCGATTGTGTGCATTACTGTCCTGCTATTACAAGTTTCAAAACCTGCTTGAATTCTGCTGATGAGAATATCTCCGGACGTCGGGGTCATGCCTCGTCCTTCGACTAGCTACCGCGCAACATTGCAGCTCCGGAGAAAGTCATGTGAATGCCACAGCGTTGTGAATGACGATGCTTAGAGGTGAGTCTCGCACAAGTCTTAATGCCCTTGTAACACGTCATTCATAGCGTCGACACCCTGAAGCCAACCGCCGAGCTGGTTGGCTATCCTTCCACGTGGCAGTTATACAGTAATAACCAGTCTCGCACCCTTCTACGGTGGTCCAGCAGCGACTTGTTATCCTCATGTGAAACCCTCGTGGCGGCGACGGGCTGTCGATAGTGGCAGATAGCCGAGCCCGACGCTTCAGGCTCAAGAGTACCTGAAAAGAAGAATACGCCGAACCGAGGTATACGTCAAGATCGAAGCAGGGCGATATAGACACACTCCGAGAAAGCCGAGTGGTAGGCGATTGGGTGCAACAACGACGATGGGCTTTGTCTGGAAGAGGAAGCTACAGGTCATCCTTTCACTTCTTTCGATATAGTGGCCCACCACCTTTCCCCGCAGCATACGAGTATATGCGGAGATCCATCGGCACCTGAACAGCAGTTAACGAGACCAATGTTCCTGTCGGGACAGTCAAAGATTTGAGGAGATCGGACCCAGACCACAATGTAAAGACAGCGCCACAAATCAGCCATCATCTGTCTCTGGCCACATATTCTACGGCAGCTTTCCGAGTCCCGTGATGGAAGCAATACGAGAGATATCTGCACCTCGTGGTGCGCTGTCCGAGTCAGTGGGACTAGTTGACCGTCTAGGTACGACTTGAAGCAAGGGTTAACGGCTTGGGAAGTTTCGCGGGACCAGCGGGGTCTATATAAAGCCCCAGAAACTGCGCGCCTTGGCCCACCAAGCTTTCTGCAATGCTGCTCCGATGTGGGTCGAGATACGATCTACTCCTGACATCCAAGGTAGAGTACCGAGCTCTCGGTCGTATTCGCCTCGAATCCATTGTGCTATTCAGTGAGCCTGGTCAGAATACACCCAAATGTCGACTTCAGTCGAGTTTCTCTTTCCCCATCACCTCCCAAATGGAAGTCTGCCGACACCATTCTCCAACCCTTCCCTCTCCACCTTCTCCGGGGCCCCATCTATGCGAGACTAGAATGGTCCCAGGATTCCGGACAGAATCGATCAATCAAGCACTTGGAAACGCTCGTCTTCCCAGCTGCCTTCTGCACTCTATTGCTCCGGAGGACCTCCATGCTCAACATCTTGCGATTCGCATGGTCCTGCAAAGGCGCATCTCAACTACACTCCACCAACGCGGGGTATATCTCGGACACGTACTCGATTACGCATAGACTTGGAAGTCCGAATGGAGAATCGCCAGCGCCGCACTATCCGCTGCGAGATCACAAACTGACAGTGTTGTATCAACAGTTGCTTCCACCGAAGCTGTGGTCCAACTGCCGACAGCATTATCCACCCGCAAGCTGGCACACAGATGACCAGTGTCAAACCCTGCAAAGGAACCCCGCCCAGAAAAGATCAGTTGCACCTCGGTATAGGTGACTCTGGATGTGGGTTGTGACGATGTTTCTGTGTCCACTCGACCAGAGAATGGTGGCCATAAAACATCTCTGGGTGCCGCCCTTGGCAGAGTGAGAACGCCTCGATTTGCTCGCGATACCGAGCCATTCCCAGACTTTTGGAGGAAGTTCCTATTTTCGCCACGCTTGGTAGCAGCCATGAAGCCTTCAGCTGTGACACTGACATTGCTTTGGTCCAGCTGCTGGAGCCTTTTGGCCGTGGTTGCCGCTCAGAGCCTGCCTCAAGTCGACTTGGGCTACCAGATACAGCAAGCATCTTCCTTCAACGTATGACATGTTCCACCTTCTAGACCGGAATAAGTTGCGGAGCTGACCATGTCAATCACAGACCACTGGTCAAATATACAACTTCAGCAACATCCGCTACGCCCAGCCACCACTGGGCAAACTTCGCTTCGCTGCTCCTGTTCCCCCAACAGGTCGCAACACGACTGTCCAAGACGGCAGTGATGGCGCTATCTGCCCTCAAGCGAACCCAACTTGGCTCGCCATTGCTGATTTATTCACCACTGCATTCGCGGAAGGGTTGCCATTCAACTACACCGCCGCCGCCGCTCAAGTCCAAGCCAACCCGCCAAAACCTTCTCCTCCTGACCCGAGGGTGAAGGAGGACTGCTTGTTTCTGGATGTATTCGTTCCAAAGGCTGTCTTTGACAAGGCTCAAAACCAATCTTCTGGCTATCAGGGAGCTCCGGTTCTTGTGTGGTGAGTCTTGTGCCTGGTCTTGAAGCGGCTCTGAATTTGGTATTGAAATTGATCTTTCTAACTTTGACCCTTTCCAGGATATATGGTGGTGGTTATACGGCGGGATCGAAAGCTGGATCGGGCAATCCGGCTGGTCTCATTCACACCAGTCAGGCCAGCGGTTCGGATGGCATCGTATTTGTTGAGATTAACTACAGACTGGGGGCGTTTGGGTGGCTGTCCGGACCAACTGTTGAAGCTGCCGAGGGCGGCGTGTCCAATGCAGGTCTGTACGACCAACGTCTGGCGCTCGAGTGGATTCAAACCAACATTCGACTGTTTGGGGGGGATCCAAACCGGGTGACCATCATGGGTGAATCTGCCGGTGGTGGATCGGTGATTCACCAGATGACTGCCTATGGGGGATTGAAATCGGTACCCTTCCAGCAGGCCATCCCTCAGTCTGGTGCCTGGCTACCAGTGTCGAGCAACTTCAAAAAGGAGAACACAACGCAGGCCTTCTTGGCCCTGCTCAACGTGACTTCGATCGAGGATGCCCGCAATCTCCCATCCTCGGTCGTGATGGCGGCCAATGCCCAGCAGGTCGGGATGTCCCCCTACGGCGGATTCACCTACGGGCCCGTTGTCGATGGGGACTTTGTGCCGGACCAGCCTGGCCGACTCCTCGCACGGGGCCAGTTCGCCAACACGGTCAAGGTCGTAGCGGGCCACAACACCAACGAGGGACCCCTGTTCAGCGACCCGCGGATCCAGACCAGCGCCGACCAGGCCACCTGGTTCAAGATCAATCTGCCCGACATCTCGGACGCGGCGGTCGGCTTCCTGCTCGGCACGCTATACCCCGCGAGCTACGACGGGTCGATGCCGTACCACACGCCGACGGAGCGCAACACGCTGATCGTGCAGGAAGGCTACTTTAGCTGCAACGTCAACTACCTGGGCAAGGCGTTCGGCGCCAACATCTCCGAGTACCAGTTCGCGGTCCCGCCGGCCCTGCACGGCCAGGACGTGCCGTACACGTTCTTCAACGGCGTCGTCAACGGCAGCGGCGTCGTGCCCCAAGTCGCGCAGGCCCTACAGCGGTACATCGTCGACTTTGTCCAGACGGGCAGCGCCAACGGGTCCGGCGTCCCCGTCTTCGCGCTCTACGGGCCCAACGCTGTCGAAACCGTCCTCAACGTCACGGGGATCACACAAATGACCGATCCGGACGCAAACCCCCGCTGCGCGTGGTGGCAGCAAGCCTTGTACTATTGAAGCATGAATCCAAAGGTTTAGAGGTAGAATTTTTTAAATTTCTTTTTGAAAAAAAGCATATCTATACTTTTCGCCCCTCAAATCTGAACGCATATTCGATCCTATGCCACGGTGGGTGATTGCTTTTCAGTCTAGCTGTTTCTTTTCATGTGCGTGTTCTTTTACTTTGAGACACCAGGCACGATCTAACGTCGGGACCATATCGACACTTGGGTATCTAAGTTGTGCACACGATTATAGGAACCAAGTAGTACAGTGTTGCTTGGACCGCTGACAGGTATTGGAACAGCGTAGCTAGGAAACGGATGGCCTAGTTGGACAGATTCACACTTGTTACCTTGTATCTTTCGATAGTATACTACCTATCTTCACAGAGATATACGCATGATTTGGCAACGTGATCTAGTTCTGGTTCAAAAAGGTCACAATATATATGTATAAGCGCAAGGCAATAAAGCTACGTTAACAATGCAAAATCATTTCCCAGGCGATTTCTCCGTATCCACCATCCTGTCATCCTTGTTCCCGTCCCCATCGGCGCTGGGCGCAGGCAGATTCTTCAGACACGGCGCGTAGAACAGCTGGCCGGACCAAGCGCCCCTGGCGGTTCCCGCGGCGACGACGCACCACAGCAGGATGACAGCGACGGCGAAGACGGTTCCCAGGACCTTAAAGAACTTGCTGGGCATCTCGACGCCAAAAGTGACGGTGGAGATGGCGTAGACGCCCAGCGGAAAGGTGAACCCCCACCAGCCCATGTTGAAGGGGAACGGGCGCGTCGAGTAGATGGTCGCGAGAGCGAAGACGAGCCAGCACAGCCCGAACCCCCACATGATCAAGGCGACGAAAAAGCCCAGCACGTACATGACGTCGCCTGCGAGGGGGAGGTCGTGAAATAGCGCCACCTGCGGGAACACTACGCGCGACACTTTGCCTAGGTACATGATCGTGTAGCCGCCCATGCCGAGCGGGCCGAGGGGGAGGAAGGACGAGACGACGACCTCTCGCGGTGGGAGTTTGTGCAGGACCAGCCGCTGGTAGTACATGACCAGCACGGTGATGGCGAGGGGGGTTGCTGTGTTGGGGTTTTGTCAGCGGAGTGCTTGGAATAGGGAAGTGTGCACCAAGTTACTGTTTTGCATGTCCATCGATATAAGAAATATTCTTGGAAGCAACTTACCCATTCCCCACATAACGTATGAAGTTATCAGCGTCCCCAGCGCGTGGTCCGGGGAGTTGAGTAGTTCAGCGACCTTGCTTCCTAAAGTCATTTTGTCAATATAGTACTTTTCAGCCTCGGCCAGACAAAAGACGGTACAGGACTATGGGATTTGGGAACTAAAGATTCACGCTTACCAGCTCCAGAAGCAACAATCGTGCTTGCAATCGGCAACAGCTGTGCCGCCGTGATCCTATCCAGCCCTTGCGAATCACGTTGGCTCATCAATAAAAACGGCAGAGACACGGTCACGGCGACGGCCACGACAGAATCAACCATCCACGCGATCCATGCGACCCACACGCTCCAGTAGCCCCAGTAGGGACAACACAGGAGAATCCAGCTCTCGACCAAGGTGGCAAAGCCCATGGGGATAGTGCCCAGAAACAGCGAATTGTTGGGGTCGGCGATCATGACGGACCAGATGGCCGGGTACAGCGTGTATCGGAGCAGAGAGGCGACAAAGGCCAGGGTGAAGAGGACGCTGTTGAGCACGAAGAACGCCACCGAGAGCCAGTACAGCCAGCGCGCCTGGAAGGGAATGGTGATCAGCAGGAGCGAGCAGATGCCCGTGCCCATGGTCACGCTGAACCACGAAGGCGAGAAGTTGCGGACCACGCGCCGCCAGCCAACGTCGTATTTGGAAGGCGGAGCCTCGGGGGACGTCGACGTCGACTTGGACACGGCGGTGATGGACTCGGCGTCGCCTGAAGGGTCGGATCTACGGATGGTTTTCGGGGTCTGTGTCTGGGTATTGCTGCTCCGTGAGCGCAAGCGGTTGAAGTCTGGTCGCGACGCCAGTTGGCTGGTGGGGATGGTCATGGCAGGGTTGTTGGACGCCATGCGCTCGATTCTGGCGTCCTCGTCGTCTGGAGTTTCGACCATGGTGATGAATGTGAACCTGTGGTTGTGGACGATGGTGTAGAGAAGGGCGAGTCGGACATCCTGTTCCCAGGCCACAGATTTCGTGTGTGTGTATAAACGAGTAGATCGAAGGACCAGGGGGTACGGGGATTTTTCTAGATGACGTTGGCCACTATCCTTTGCGGCGATATTGGAATCGTATCGGATACTGGAGGCGCGGCAATCTGGCCGGTCGAGTGGCGGGACGTCATCCACTCCCCGCTAGTCACGCTAGCTTCATATGGACATCATCACTAGACAGAAATAGCCAAAGGACAGTGGTCTAGATTCGCTACTCCATCGACGGCGAGGAAACCCAGCCTTGTCGAGAGCAATCATATGTGGTTGGCAGACGCTCTCGAAGATCAAAATTCCCACTCCTTGAGAGGTGCTGCAGATGAATAAACACAGAATGAACGAAAATAAGAGTGCCGACAAAGACGACTCAAGATACGGGTAGCATCAGAAGACACGGATGGTTCAATTTGACTATAAACTATCGTCATTTGGTTCTAGGTCCGCCTCCTCAGCTGTTTCGTCCTCCAGCTCGCCATTGCTTTCGGTCTCCTCGTCGTCCAAGAGTGGAACAAATCTGAAATCCACAAAAGCGACACTGCTAGGCGTCGGCGGTGCGTTGACAGCAACACTTTCTTCTCGGCGTGGGCCAGCATTGGCACCGTCGCCCAAGTCGATCATGAACTGCAGGCTAAGTACGCCTTGTTGATCCTGACGAATGCTGACTTTGCTGGCCAAAGCCATTGCCCTGCCTGCCCTCTTGATCATGTCGAACTTGTACTTCTGGCAGACTCTTCCACGGCTGCCCGACGGTGCGACGACCGAAAACGTTTCCGTGACCAGCGGCTGTTTTTTGGCCCTGGGTACGCTGGAGCTAGGCGCGTTCTTGGACTCTGGTAAAAAGTCCACGGTGCTATCGCCGAATGGTCCTCCTTCGCCTTCCAACGAGAAAAAGGGAGCAGTACGGCCAGAAGCATTGATTACAAGAACAGTCGGATTGGTGCCTGAGAGCTCCCCAATAGCATCATTGAGCCAAGCACTGCGCATGATGGCTTTCAGACACAACGAATTCCGGTCCAGGGGGATACCACCATCGTCACCATATTGATCGTAAACTCTGTATGTGTTCATCTCACACGTTGTGGTGACTGATCCTTCTTGAATGGTGACGGTGAGCGGTGCACCAGCCTCTTGGTACGAAATTCGGCATGTGCCTCCGAGTGCCAGTGCCGGGGTATTGAAAGCGTTCCCATACGACGATGAAAGTCCACCATAGGGGTTCCGCGCTGAGGAAGTTGTTTCAGCGATGCCAAATATCTGTAACGTTTCCAGGAGAGCATCAACTGAGACTGCAAATGGGGGCAAGGCATGATCTTCATCGTTGAGTCTCAAATTGTACGACGAGAAGAGGGCTTTGTCCAGAAACGTCAAGCCCTGAACAACTCGTGCCTCTTCGACAGAGAACTTGATTCCTTGTTGGGTGATCTCCACCTCTGCACGCTGAGAGAAAGCAATGCACCGAAGCAACAGGTACAACTGCCTAGCAGATGTAGATATTGCCGTAAAGATGGGTGCATCAGCCATGGTAGGATTGTAAAGTCTTTGACAGGTGAACCGCAGTTATGGAGAGGAGAAAGCAGATGTTGAGGTAGAATGGTCTACAGGATCTTAAACATAGACCCCAAACCCGCAGATCGCGTAGACTGCACCAAATCTGCCCCGTGTCAATCTCCATGTCAACCAGCTATTGTTTTCTGCACATACCCAAATGCAAGAGAGGCAGGGATTCCGAAGACAGGTATAGAAAGAGGAGATTTGTTTAATGCGAAGAGTCCAGTGAGTATCAGGCCTATGCAAGTCAGTGCAAACCCAATGAGACCCCAATGCGACAACGAGTCTCACCAATAAGCAACAAAAACAGTCCGATGGTCAACTGGCTTTCCTTGCCAACTATGGGCTGGAAAGGGCTGCCTGCGGCTGCTTGCCAGACGTCGTAGAGCGACATTGAGGTAGCTTGCAAGACTGTTGATCACGGCTTCAGGTGTTTGGTCTGGTAAAATTCAGGGCGAACAAATGCCTGCGAGTTGCAAGGTGGTCTCCCGAAGAAAGACGCGACAGACCTGGCGTCTCATTCGGGAAAGATTTCCGAGGTTATGCGCTAATCCATATCTGGCAATGTTCGTCTCAGCGTTCTCGAACCGCGGCCGAGATCGCCTCTCAACTTCAAGTCTCTCTTAGATTGCGACGACACCCTTTTACACGCCCGCGACGTGTTATGTTGGGACTGTTCAGTATATCCAGCACATTGGTATCGCCGCGATGGCGCCTATAAACAGTGAACGTGAGAACCTCTGGGTGTGGCAGAATGACATGTGCACGTGTACTGATTTGGTGAATGACGCAGATACAAAGAGGAAGGCATCTGAGGATGCGGCGTCCTCTCGCTCCAAAAAGGCCAGAACCGAGTCACCGGCTCTAGAGAATGGCATCAAACATGAAGAGGTAAATCCACCAGCACCCTCCGACCACGGCCATCATGCCCTTCAACTTTCCCCCGGCGGGAATGTTCCCGCCCGACGATAATCTTTATCGCTTTAGAACAAACGTCTCTGTAGACTCAGATTCCACTTTATCCCTTTCATACCTCGAGGACCACGATCTTTTACATCGCCGTTCTTCACAGGCTGAGCGTGTCTCACTGGGGACAAACAACGCTAACTTTGTCTTTGAGCAGTCCGATGCGGATCCTCCCATCACACCTACACCAGTTGATTTCCCCGAGAAGCCAGCCGTCGTTGAAGAGAAACAAGGACTTATTGAGTTCAGGGTGGTCAACAATGACAATTCGAGGGAGAGTAACATCATCTTGACCGGGTTGAAATGTATCTTTCAGAAGCAACTGCCTAAGATGCCCAAAGACTACATCGCTCGCCTGGTCTACGATAAAACACATCTATCCATCGCTATTGTCAAGCAGCCGCTCGAGGTGGTTGGTGGTATAACCTACCGACCGTTCAACTCGAGAAGGTTTGCTGAGATTGTCTTCTGCGCGATCTCGTCAGATCAGCAGGTCAAGGGGTACGGTGCTCATCTGATGGCGCACTTGAAGGACTATGTCAAGGCCACTTCACCGATTATGTATTTCCTGACCTACGCCGACAACTATGCGATCGGCTACTTCAAGAAGCAGGGCTTTACAAAGGAGATTACTCTCGAAAAGTCGATTTGGATGGGATACATAAAAGATTACGAAGGTGGCACAATCATGCAATGCAGCATGTTGCCCAAGATCCGCTATCTGCAGGCCCCTCGAATGCTCCAAAAGCAGAAGGAGGCAGTCATGGCTAAGATCCGAGCAGTGAGTAAGTCTCACATTGTTCATCCCCCGCCAGCACAGTGGAAGAACGGGATCGTCGAGATAGACCCGATGTCAATTCCGGCGATCAAAGAGTCTGGCTGGTCACCTTCGATGGATGAGCTCTCCCGGCAACCTCGACACGGTCCAAACTATAATCAGCTTCTTCACTTGCTCAACGACATGCAGAATCATACAGCAGCCTGGCCCTTCGCTCAGCCGGTTAACAAGGACGAAGTTCCCGATTACTATGAAGTCATCAAGGAGCCAATGGACCTGTCAACAATGGAGGAACGGCTGCAGAACGATCTATATCCCAGACCAGAAGATTTCATCAAGGATGCCAAACTAATCTTTGACAATTGCCGGCGCTATAACAACGAGACCACACCATACGCGAAGAGCGCAAACAAACTGGAAAAGTTCATGTGGCAACAGATCAAGAATATTCCGGAGTGGTCGGTGAGTGGTTGATACCCTGACAATGATTCGGAGTTCCGACACACTGACGTGGATTGTATAGCACCTTGCAGAATAAGCACCGATTTGCTGGCGAATTTTCTACAGGCATGCAATGCGGTTGGTGCCGATTTCATGGCTTTGGGGGTGGCTTTCGTTTGGGCGGGATTGGCGCAGAGAAGCGGACGATGACACTACCAAAACACAGCATTATGATCTCGCTCGGTTTATTGCATGCACATAACATGATACCCAATCAGTATGAATGGCTTTTTTTCCACCTTGATACATGAAGACATGACAATGAAAGATGGTAGTACGCAAACAACACGTTCTCCTGTTGACGCAACCACGTACTTGTAAAGCCGTTCTGGCCGTTGCACAAGCCATTGCCATAGGTGCCAATTATGAGATTGGCAAGTCCAAGTCACCAGCAACACAACTAATTCTCAGTAATATCGAGATGACGAATGACATGTGTAACCTCTGTGGCTGATGCCAAAGACAAAACTCCGGAGACGTGCAGATTGTTCGGACCAGGAAGGGAACCAATCAGATGCTCCAAAAGGGAGATGCAGGGGGTTGCCCCGGTCGCATCCCAATTCAAGGTTCCGTTACCCAAAGGTCGCTCGCTCCCTTCCCTGCTTCTCCCACAATTAACCACCTTTTCAACCCTCATCTTCGACAAGACAAGACAAAAAAGGGACTTTCCACGTCTTGCTGTACCTCTACACCCCTTCTCCGCTCGTTGAATTCTCTTCGACACGCTCGCTATTGTCTGTTTGCCAACAATGTCCACCATGTAATCCAAGATCCACCAGCCTCCCACTCGCGACCCCGTAACTTAGTCCTCACGTCACTTGGACTGCACCTCTGGTGGTCTTTGCATCGATCCCACCGAGAAGAGCCCCGTTCTCTGAAACCAACCCCTTCCATCTCGAAAACGTCGCGACCTCTTGTCTGTTGACATCATTCACCTTCCCCCGAGTGCAGCGGTTCACTTTGCGCGTCACGAGATCAACAAACACGATGGCACATCCAGGGAGCCGGGGTGAGGATGTCGAGGTCCGCAACCGCCTGCCTACTCTGATGGAGGTTTTGGGAAGAAGGACGCTAGCTCCGGTTGATCTATTTTCATTCTACATTTACATGCGCGACCAACAACGCTCGGTGGATTACCTGGACTTCTGGTTTGTTGTCGACATGAAATCAAGGTGTAAATCAATTCTGACTCATTCGACAGGCTCGATGTATCCCAACACATGTCCTTGTGCCGCCACTATGTCCGAGAACTGCGCCGTTCGATGCTCGTCGACACGCCGGAGATGGAAAAGACCACCACCAGCAAAAGGTCTTCGGCGTTACTCGATCAGTTTGAACTGGGTGAAGGAATAGACGCGAGAAAGAGTGGACAAGAATCAAGGGTGTCTGCCATCTTGAGATCAGATAACGGCGCAGCAGGTGCCAAGCCACCTCGAAGCAGAGGAGAGGGTGGTGGTGCTACTGATCACTCACCTTCACATAGCTTGGGATCAGCCAATTCAAGAAACCTCAGTCGTCCCTCCGGTGACCGACCCTCACCTTCAGAACTTCCACAGCCGACATACTCCACCCCTGAAGTGCGGACGGACTCGAATTCCCCTGGACATAGTGTCGCTAGGGCCGACATTAAAGCCAGTGCGGAGAAGATTCTCTACACTTTTGTCTTGCCCGGCTCGGAGCGAGAGATCGTCCTGCCAGACACCATGCTGAACAGGATCATTCGGGCAATTGAGGAGGAAGGACGAGACGACCCAGAGGTGTTTGATGATGCCAAGGACTACGTCTTCCAGGCGATGGAAAGGGATGCATTCCCAGGTTTTTTGCAGGCCAAAGCCTTGGGAAATCTAGTCCCATTGAGTGTGTTGATCAGACTCGCCATTGGTCTGGCGAGCTTAATGGCTGGGTTTTGGGCTGGCTATTACATGATTCTGAGGGACAGATCGAGGGCTACTCGCTGCTGGGTAAGGCTTCCGTGTTCAAGTTCATTTGCAGTTCATCCCACTGACCCAACCGTTTAGCTTATCCTTCCTTTCACAATCGGCTGCTACTTCCTCGTCTCCTACCAATACAAGCTCGACATCGTTGCCGCTTACCTGGGATTTAGTGAATACACGTGGATGAACTGGTCGCGCGTCAGGGAGCCGTTTGTGCGGCGATTGCTTCTGACGCGAGCGACCATGGCATTCTTGATGTTTGCGGCGGCGGCGGTGGCATTGAGTGTCCTGTTTATATTCGTTCCGGGTACGAGGTTCTAGGGATCAGTGGACATGTGACGACTTCGGAGTGATGTAAATGACAGCGGTTGGTTCGGCGTTTTGTGTGCTTGGAGGGTGGTTGGGGTCGATGCGTGGTGAGAGGTTGCATGCTTAATGTCCAGCGGAGCTGAGAACGAGCAATGGGAGGTCCTGTTTTGCTTCGGGAAACAACAGGCGTTGACGGAGTCAGCCATGGCGAATGGACATCGTGCACCCCATCAATCTAACTGCGACAAACGATGAAATACATGGAGACTGGAAGACACAGTGATTGCAGACATGGCAAAACGCCCGCCTCCACAGAGCACGATATCTCGCAACACAACGTCCCAGGCTTGAGGCAGCGGATCAAAACAACAGGAAAGATACATGGAGCTTGGATATGTATGCTGTTAGCTATGCGAAAACTGGCAACCAAAACTGGTCACATGAGCCTTTTGTATGCCCGAAATGGTCGCAGATTGGGTTGTTCAACACCTGCCTTTATCGCCGTTTTGTTCTATAGACACTGGGTTGTGAGACGTACTGTAGGTAAAATGGATAACTCCACAGGAAGGGGTATTGCTACGCTATGTCTGAGCAAAGTAGAGCAGAGCAGAACAGAGTAGACTGGAGTAAAGTAGCGACAGCGCGGCACAACATAGCCTAGCAAAGTAATTGTGAAGCAGGGCAGAGTGAGTAAGGTGAGGGGGGATCTCGTTACTTCATCATCCTTCATTATCGTGTATCTCGTCTATTGGATCTTCACAGGACATGTCCGTCTGTCATGGCGGGTTCGGTGGGCCTAGTGTTATTGATGTCCCCTTCGAGGCGCCACGGGAGCATTAGCATGCATTGTATGTGTACCGTCTGGCGCAGATGCGCTCGGGCTGGATGCAGTGGATCCGGAGCAGCAGGTGGGATGGTATGCGGTTGGCGTGATGTGTCGTGCAGGAACAGAAACCCGGTCGTTGGATCTTGTCCCAGATCAAACCCACGAGCCAACCAACCAACTTTGTCCTCCAGATGTGCTTTAATTCCTGGGTGTCCTGGTTTCAGAACATGTGAGCACTTTGTCTCGACACGGCGGGCTCCGTCCTGGACATCTCTATTGACAAGCATCCCTGAATCATCAGACTTGTGCCGCATGAGAACCATGCACTCGGTCTTTAAGATGCAATCAGTGTCAATATACTGGCCCAAGGGATCATTTTGACGAGCCTCGTCCACGGTTTCGCTTTGCACCCCTTGATCCCCCACTCCCTCCGCCTCGCGACGCAGGGCCTCCGAAGATACCTGTGCCCTCACTGACACCCTCGTCCAGATCCATCTTGCTCTCGTCGTAATCATCGTCCACGTCGTCACCCTCGCCTTCCATCTGCTGATCGAGGTCTCGCTTGCTCGGAGGACGTTGGCCTACACCAAATCCGGCGGAACGCCCTGCCCGTCCGTTTCCTGATGTGACGCCATTATCGCTTGATGTTTGCTGTCGGTCAGTGCTGAGAACTAGAGAATCTACCTCGTTCTGTCGGGCTCTTTCTTGTAACGCTCTCTGCTGAGCGGTTGCTCGGATAGCGGAAATTTGCGCTTCGAGGTCGCTCACGACGGCGGTGCAGCGGGATTCCCATGTCTGTAGGATCTGCCAGAGTACGGGGAGGGAGTGAGGGCGCAGATCGCGAAGAGGGGCAACGGACATGATGTGTACGGTGGGGGGACTCGATGTGGGACTGAGACGGGCAGTGAGGAGACCGGAATAGATCGACTGTGTCACCAGATATTCTAGCTCTTGGGAGGTAGAAAGCAGGAGGGTCGCAAGCAGCCCAGGGTAGGTCAAAGCATTGGCTGTTGTGTTCTTGCTAGTGGGGGCAAATGGCGAGGCCAAAGTCAGGAGACTAAGCTGCCGCAGTTTGAAGGTCTGAGCTTCATCGAGGGGTGGAAGAGATGGGTCGGCTAAACACATAGGTCCATCAGCATATGCGTTTACCATTATATCCCCTTAAGGTGTACCTTTGAACTCCTCATACGTCCCCCAACTGAAGATCTCCAACAGTTTCAACCAAGATTCCCCTTGCGTGCCTCTCAAGCTCTGTATGACAGGCAGTTGAAGAAGCTCGGTGAAGATGTAGGCCCCAGGAGCGGAGATTGCGCCTTTGATCAGTTCAGCAATAAAGCGTGGTGATGGAGTTTTTGTGGTAGTGGCGAGGTGAACAAAAGGCTGAATCGCAGCGAGAGCTTTTGTCTGTGATTGATCCATCTTACGCAGAGGTGGGAAGAGCGAAAGGGCAGAGGGATTGATGCTAAGGTGGGAGAAGAGCGCGGGGATTGATACTCAGCCTGCGAACTGGAAGACGAGGCTGTCACTGCGGGCAGAGGTTAGGGCTTGGCAACAGACGAGGCTGAGATTTGCACGTGGTTCAGGCTTATTTAATTACATGGTTTTGAGGCTGGTGGCTGGGCTGCGGGTGGCTGGTACCAGTTTCAACCCTACGACCTGATTTCATGTCGAACCAGCGATCGTCATGGCTTGTTAAATGTCATTTTTGTTAGATACGCCAATATTGCCAATTCTCTCGTGATCTGTACCGAGGCGAGGCTACCCTCCAGCCTGAAGATGCCCTGATGCGGCTAGAGGTGGCGTGATACTAAATCAGGGGTGTTTCTCTTGACCCAATCCGTCGATGGTGTCACTTTTCGGTTTCAGGCCTCAATCTCGCTCTTCAGGCATTTCTCAGCTTCAAGTCCCCGTCTGACTTCTGACTTAACACGTTTCGGTCCGCTCACGAACGCTTCAAGGCCGCTTACATATCATCTTCGCACTCCGTTCTCTCAATACACTCTTTTAAAGCCATTTCTTGTTTTCTGCGCGATCTGCACCACCTCCGTTTTCGACTTCCTTTTTCCTGCTCCGAAGTCGGCCCCCGAACGCGTGCCCCTCGAACGATGCGTTTATGATTGTCTCTCTCTCTCAGCCCTGCTGTTAATCCCACGAACGTTCGCTACGATGAGTCTTGCCAGTGACAGCGGCCACGAGGCGCCGCAACATTCGCCGACCCCGGCGCATATGGCTACCACAACCCTCAAAGTCGATGGCATGACTTGTGGTGCATGCACCTCCGCAATAGAGTCAGGGTTCAAGGACGTTGAAGGTGCCGGTGCTGTATCGGTCAGCTTAATGATGGGAAGAGCCGTGGTACATCATGATCCGAAGAAGTTGTCTCCCGAGCAGATCGCAGAGATCATTGAGGATCGTGGGTTCGATGCCGAAGTTCTATCTACAGATATGCCCAAACCTCCCACTCTGTCGATTTCGACTGGAGTATCCAGCTCAGAGTCCCAGCTCACCACCACAACGATATCCATACAAGGAATGACTTGCGGGGCATGCACTTCGGCTGTTGAGGCCGGCTTCAAGAATGTCCCGGGCGTGAAAAGCATGAGTGTTTCCCTTCTGGCGGAGCGTGCCATCGTCCAGCATGACGCAAATATCATCAATGCCGATGCACTGGCCGAGATCATTGAAGACCGAGGCTTTGATGCCACCGTGATTGACTCAAAAACTCAAGACACTCTTAGGCCCACAGCTGGGAATGCAGAGGCCAACGACCAGTCGCAGACGTGGACTACCACTGTTGCTATTGAGGGCATGACTTGCGGTGCTTGCACCTCTTCTGTCGAAGGCGCTTTCAAAACCGTTCCTGGTCTGGTCAAGTTCAACATAAGCCTTCTCGCAGAACGAGCAGTCATTTCTCATGATCCCGTCACCCTTCCTTCCGAGAAGATCGTCGAACTCATTGAAGATGCCGGTTTCGATGCTAAGATTGTGTCCTCGCAAGCTGAGACCAATCTACAGAGCTCAAACTACATTTCCCAGCAACTCAAGATTTATGGCTTACCAGACGGACAAACTGCCACTGAGCTCGAAAACATCCTGAGATCAAAACCAGGAGTCAAAAGTGCGGTGATCAGTCTTTCCACGTCGCGCGCCACCATCACCTATGATCCTACCGTTGCCGGTCTTCGAATGATTGTCGCGGTCATTGAGGACGCTGGATTCAATGCCCTAGTTGCAGAAATGGAAGACAATAATGCTCAGCTGGAATCTCTCGCCAAAACAAAAGAAATCCAGGAATGGAAGAGAGCATTTCTTACATCCCTGAGCTGTGCCATTCCCGTGCTCTTGATCAGCATGATTATACCTATGTTCTTCCCATCGATCAATTTTGGAGGCATTGAGATTATTCCAGGCCTTCTTTTGGGTGACGTGATCTGCTTCGCCCTGACACTTCCTGTACAGTTCGGCATTGGAAAGCGTTTCTATGTTTCAGCGTTCAAAAGTTTGAAGCACAGGTCGCCAACCATGGACGTGCTGATTGTCTTGGGTACCTCGACGGCATTTTTCTTCAGTTGTTTTGCCGTCATTGTGGCAGTCTTAATCCCCCCTCACAATAAACCTAGCACTATCTTCGACACTAGCACCATGCTCATCACATTCATTACTCTCGGACGATGGCTCGAAAATCGAGCCAAGGGGCAGACCTCCAGAGCTCTATCACAGTTGATGTCTCTGGCTCCAAGCATGGCAACCATATATGAGGACCCTCTATACGCCGAGAAGCTTGCCGATGCCTGGACAGCTCCATCGTCTCCTGTGCTCGAGAAAACGCCAACCAACGATTTGAGGAGAGTTCCATCAGGTCCCGGCCCATCAGGCTCTTCCGGTCCCTCCGCGATAGAAAAGACCATCCCAACCGAATTGATCGAGGTCGGAGATGTTGTCATCCTTCGACCTGGGGACAAGATACCCGCTGATGGAGTCGTTACCCGTGGAGAGAGTTTTGTGGACGAAAGCATGGTCACTGGTGAACCCATGCCTATACAGAAAAAGAAGGGTAGCACACTCATTGCGGGTACCGTCAATGGCGCCGGCAAGATTGACTTCAAAGTCACACGTGCGGGAAAGGATACACAACTGAGCCAAATTGTCAATCTTGTCCAAGAGGCCCAGACGAGCCGAGCACCTATCCAGCGCATGGCCGATCTTGTTGCTGGTTACTTTGTACCCGTCATCATTCTTCTCGGATTGATCACCTTTGTTGGCTGGATGATCTTGAGCCACGTCCTGCCCAACCCTCCCAAAATCTTTACAGATCAACAGAATGGCGGCAAGTTCATGGTCTGCCTAAAGCTTTGCATCTCAGTCATTGTCTTCGCTTGCCCTTGTGCCCTTGGATTAGCAACCCCAACGGCAGTCATGGTGGGAACTGGGACAGCTTCGCAACTGGGAATTTTAGTCAAAGGAGGTGCCGCTCTTGAGACGGCAACCCGCGTCACGCATATCATCCTGGACAAGACCGGTACTCTGACTTTTGGGAAGCTCAATGTTGCCGATAGCAGCTATGCAGCTCTCTGGAGCTCCAACGAATGGCGTCAGAAGCTGTGGTGGACACTCGTTGGTCTCGCTGAGACAGGGTCTGAACACCCCATTGCGAAATCCATTGTTCTAGCTGCCAGGGAGAAACTCGGCCTCGAAGCAGAGGAAGGATTCCCCGGCCAGGTTGGCACCTTTGGTGTCACCGTAGGTCAGGGAGTATCCGCCATCATCGAGCTCAACAATCCAGGGGACGAAACTAAATACAAAGTCTATGTCGGCAACTCTACGTTTTTGGCCAACAAGAAGATCGACATCCCGGCAGATGTTGAGAGCTCGATCAATGCAGCTCTGTCTCCCACAACCCGAAGGAAATCGAAGACCGGAATAACAACTATCTATGTCGCGATTAACGGACAATATGCTGGGTATATCGGCCTCTCTGACACGCTCAAACCTACTGCCCCTGCTGCTATTACCGCCTTGCACAAGATGGGTATTTCTACCAGCCTCGTCACTGGAGACACATATAACACAGCACTTTCCATTGCTGAATTAGTGGGGATCCCTCGAGAATGCATCCGTGCATCTGTTTCTCCAGGTGAAAAGCAGTCCATCGTCTCAGAGCTGCAGTCTCAAGGGGAAATTGTCGCTATGGTTGGGGATGGGATCAACGACTCCCCGGCTCTTGCAACCGCCAATGTCGGTATGGGTCTCGTTTCTGGGAGCGACATCGCAGTCGAGGCCGCAGACATTGTGATAATGCGCTCGGATGATCTTCTCAATATCCCGACTGCTCTTCATTTGTGCCGTGTCATTTTCCGACGGATCAAGATCAATCTGATATGGGCCTGTGCGTACAACGTTATCGGACTACCATTTGCAATGGGTATTTTCTTACCGCTCGGCTACCATATGCCCCCTTTGATGAGCGCCACGGCGATGATGTTCAGCAGCATTTCTGTCACGCTGAGCTCGTTGGCGCTGCGGTGGGTCGGCAGGCCCAAGTGGCTCAGTGTCGAAGCTCTGAAGATGGAAGGAGACAGATACAGTGCGCCCGTGATCGGAGCGAAGAGGAGAAAGAAGCTGATGAATGACGGCGGCTGGATGGTCAGAGTCCAAGGCGTTGCCGAGTCCATGTTCGAGAGACTCGAGGGAGTGGCGACGCGGAGAAGAGCACAAGGGAGAGAACGGGGCAACTATGTCCCGTTGCAGACAGTCGAGGGTGATGCCGTGTAAAGTGAACAGTCCCGTGGGAGCGTTTCATATCGTCTTGTTTTGTTTCCAAGGCCTTTGGATACAGGCCGTATGCGCAAATATACCTTGTTCATATACCCACCCAATATACGTATAATACAGCCATCCCGGACACTCGTCTCGAACCCACCTACCGCTCTTTTCCTATTTCCTAAATTCGCCGCTGTGCTGTCCCACCAACCACTATCTCGTGGCCTTCTCTCTCTCTCTTCTATCGCCACATCAAGACTCAAGCGAACGTCCGTCCGTTTTTCTCTGCACCGATGATGCGTGCCCATGTCAACCTAACCCACCGCGAACTTACTCCTTGCCCTCAACATACCACCGATCCTCCACAGCAAGAACATACCCACCACCCCAGCACACGCCAGCCCTGCAAGCAGACTAATACCGGGACCAATTCCCAGATTGACGAACATAGGTCGGGAGAAGATGACGGTGCCGGCGGCGAAGAGGGAGCGGAAGAGGTCGTTGGAGGCAAGCAGCGAGGCCGTGTAGCGCGGGTATGATAACGGGAGATATACGAAGATGCACTGGAAGATGACAAAGTTGGAGCAAACCACGATTATCACGCCGATGGTGCTGACTATCCAGTGCACGCCGTGGCGAGACGTCCAACCTGTATAATTTCATAACGAGAAGATCTTGTCAGCAGGAACGTTCAGTCTTTTCTCCTTTCGTTCGTTTCGCGGGCCCTTCATGCAGCACCTGCGCCTTCATATTCTAGGGGTAGATGCGAGTGGATTGATCGACTCACCAAACATGAACAATCCCGCAGGCAACGTGCAGACGCCAAACAATGCAGGTACTAGCCGATGCTCCGGTGCCCGCAGGCCGTTTTTGATGATGTCAGGCACTAGGTAGAGGAGCAGGTATGTGTTGTAGACAACGACCGCAATCGTACACCCCACTCCGATGGTCACAAAAGTCAAGCCCAGTTCGCCGAGATTGAAACCGTAGATCCCCACGTAGACCAGCGGGAAGGCCTCGAAAAAGGAATAGTAGATGCCATAGAGAAGAGCGCTCTGGAAAATTGGCACGATGACGGAGTCAGAAAGAAGTAGACAGGCGGGAGTCGTAGCCACTGGTTCTGGGGGTTATTTCTGGGGGCAAGGGGAGCTCACATAGAGGTTAGTGTACGCAACAGCAGGATCCTTCATCATGATCTCGAGCGGCTTAATGATGGCGTCAAAGAAGACTTCCGAGTACTTCATATGTTCCTGGTCGATCTCGCTCTGGGACCGTAGATCTGTCCTGCCCGTAAGTTTCCGAAGTCGCGCAGCTCGTCGTCGAAGAATTGTAGCGCCAGAGGTTTCAGGGAAAGCAATCAGGTAGACGACCAGGATTGGTGCGCTAAGCCATAGTAGCTCCCATAACGACCATCTCCATCTGCACTTTTATTAGCTGAGGGCGTTCTATGAGACGGAGGAGGGGAAATTACCCTTTGGCACTGACGGCATACGACGCCATGACTGGTCCGAGGGCAGGGCCCCAGAAGCAAGCACCCGTCCAAGAGGAGAGATAGACGGGGAGCAACAGGAGGGAGAACTACGGTAATTAGGGTGCTTCCCTTGGGTCTGAGTCTCCGGGGAAACTTACCATATCACTGACCGAGGCAGCTCCATTGGCAAGGCAAGGGCTAGATAGAAAGCCTTGTAGAAATCGAAGAACCAAGAGACCAGCGTAATTGTCTACCACCGCTGTCGGGATACAGATGATGGTAAATAAGATAAAGGCAGGCGTGTAAACTCCGTTGCGGCCAATAGCAGGAATCTCACAGAGGGGGGCGAACAGCAGGGGGCCAACTCCATCTAGAATGAACTTGGTCAGGATCGGCTTCGCAGAGAAGAAGGAGATCCAACGTACATCCAATCACATATATGGCAAGGCCCATTCCTGCCGCTGCTTCACCAACGCCGAATCTATGCATGACCCCACTAGAAGTTCGTCAGTATAAGGATTCGGAATAGTGGGTGAGAAACCCGCCTTTCGCTGACGACGTAAATACTGGAACCTCCATACATGGCGAAGGTGTATAAGCTGCAAACTTCACGTGAGTTTCTCGGCCTCAATCGTTGCGCGGCCAGGGTCATAGAGAGAACATACCATATCTGAACCAATATAAAGAGCTTCTTTGTCTGCGACCAGTTCTGCGGATTCTCTGGGTCATCAGTCGTATACCAGTCAACGAGAATGGTGCCATCAGCCGATTTGTGGAGTGATATAGGCTTGCTGTTGGTTTTTTCCAGCTCCAGTTGCTGATCCAAGGCGTAACGTTCTTCTGTGAACGACAGACTCCGTTGTCTTGCGAGGCTAGGCTCCAAATTTTCATCGTTTGACCTTCTTGTTGGGCGTGTCGACGGTCCGCTACTCCCCCCAGCCTTTTCAAGGTCCGCCAACTCAGAATCCGGTCTCGAGTCCTCTGCTTTTTCCGAACTCTGTGTTTCAGGGCTCTCCTTTTGTGCCTCGACTGGGTCGGATACAGAATTGTCGGGGTTCGCAACGTCCTCGACAGAAGTACCAGATGCCTGGAACACATGTCATTCCCAGAAGCCCTCTCGGAGACTGTAGGCAGCTCACCAGCTTGGGTAACACGAATCCTTCCCGCTCATCAGGATACAAGAGGATTCTATTCTGGGCTATCCATCGGAGGAATTGGCCCAGGGGTGCATCTCGGATTGTATCGAGCATGACGTGTGATATGTCTTGGAGGTGTGCCTGGAAAATAGAGCAGCAAGTGTCTGCCGGAAACATCTAACGACACTTGGGCCGACAGAAGAAGAACAGCATCCCTTATAAATCATGGCAAATGTCATAGCATCAGAAGCATAGCGGATCTGGCAACAGAAATGCCGCTTCAGACGGGATTCCTCATGGATGCCACTCATGTAAGCAGAGTATATCTGGGTAGAGGTCAAGTCACCGCCTGGAAAGATCGCCCTCTAGTGTGGTCCCTTCGGAGCCACGCGCTTGCATGTGAACATGTGCCTGAAGCGTACGAGGCCACGGCTGACCGCTGTGGTTGGTGGATTGCACTCAACTTCAGCCGATATTCGAAAGATGCAGGAACCGCCCTGAGGTTGGGTCAGAGAGTCAGCAGCGGCCGATGGGGAGCTTCTGCCTGATAAGGGGCGTGGCGAGGCATTAAAATCTCCGAGGAGGTACATGGCTGAGGTCTGGAGGTTGACATGGCTATGTTATGTCCACGATTCAATGCGGATATTGACTTGGTTTTTGCTACGAGTCTGACCACGAGCCTAGCAGGTAAGGCTGACCTTTGTCCCAGCCGGGAAGTGGTCCCAGAATGAGAGTGAGGGTGGATATGTGGTGACTCAGAGGGCCGTTATAAAGGATCCATTGGTGTCAGCAACGGAGTAGCATGTGGTTGGAACGAAGCCGATGTTGTCCTGAAGACGTCAAGATATATGGAGGACCAAGAGTGTCAAGGTGCCAAGGTGCCCAGGCACCAGGGTACTTCCTTCAACTCCTTGTGCCCTCAATTCAATACACATAATCATTCCCTCTGGTGCCTCTGCGGCCGTGGCGTCCGCACCGCAGCCTTGTCGTGACCCGCACTGCTTGCTTCTCGGCTCTATCCAACCCGCCCTCTGGTGAGCCGAGCTCGCTTATTACCGCTAGCAAGCGAGCGATACATCCATGCAGCCGAGGTCACACAGAACCTCTTTCCTCCCTTCCACTACTCCTACTGCTGCTTTGAGTATCCTGACTGTCCACTATGAAAAGAGACAACCAAAGAGATGGAAAACATTGAAACAAAGTCTCAGGCTGGGCTCAGCCGGAGTGATGAAACGCGTGGCCAGTGTCTGCTTTAAACCTTACCTCTCTAAGATTGAATAGACCTGTACGCTTGTACTCGCAGTCTATGAGGTTCTACCTTCGGTGCGCCTCTCTTCAACAACGGCTCCCCATAATGGGCGACAAATCAACCGGTACGCAGGCCACAATGGAGGAGAAGAACGTTCTCTGCTTGGTTGTCATGGCTTATAAAATCATCGGTAACATATACGGTGTGTCCAAGAAACAGACTGAAACGGGTCAGAGCAACCTTCTGACGCGAGAATTTGACAAATTGTCGTAAATATAGATGCATTTGCCCGTTCATGGACGGTGGGAGGTGAGTATCATGTACTGTGCAATCATTCGGAGACATTGCGGTCAGCCGTGGAACACATGTGGAGGCAATGGCAGATAGAAGGCTGCAAGTTTCTTTGAACAATTGTTGTCCAGAAAGCAAACCGCTTTGGTACTTCTCGTTGGCTTACTAGATCTCAAATCCGAGTTGCCACGCAAATCGACTCAACCTCGACATATTTCCTCGGCTATATAGGATTGGTTCGACATGGCTCTCGACCGTGGAGATCTTATCAGAATGCATTGAGATCATTTCGAAAATGACGCGACTCGCCAATGAAAACCTGCAAGACAATCATGCGATTGCTACGTTCTCGAGTCGGCACCGTGTGGATTCTTCGTCAACGAATTCCTCGTCATCATCCGTGCTGTGTTGTGCTGTATCTTGGATCGATCGGCAGCTTTACTCGCGATACACAATTGTGGGACAAGATTGGGCTGATGAAGGAAGAACTCAAGACGGATTGATCCACAGGACTGTGGACTTGAACCACCCGCACCACGCCGTGGCCAAAGAGGCACGTCGTAGAGACAGAGTTGAGATTTCTGTGTCCAGAGCCTACGTGTCGTCGCCGCAAGCAGTCCTGCCCGAGTACTCACAATCTCTAGAAAACCTATAGCTTCTGTCTACGCGTTGGAGAAAACGTCCTAATGTCGTTATTGTCATGTTCGATATGGAAGTGCAGAACCAGAAGGTGAGGGAAGGAGAATGTCCTAGCCAAATAGATCGATCATTATATATTGGTAAATGCGCTGGTCATTACGGCGGAGAATTCGGCCGTCATTGGGATTTTTGAACATCATTCTGCCCCAAACACTACGATGCGTTGCCTTTCATTTCAATTTTTTCCCTTCCTTTCCCTTCCATTTTTGTTCTCATCCCTTCCCACCCGCCAAAATAACCCAGAAAACAACGTTCTTTGATTGTCAATTTAGTCACTTCGATCGTGTTTGGACCTTCAGGTTTCATTTCTCATACTGCTCCAGGGCCGTCAACCCGCCCTCCAAGAGGTTGACGACGTTGTTGCCTTCCAAAAACTTGAGGAACTCTGCCCTCCCGCCGCCGTGGCCGTCAATGCCGTACGCCGCGCCAAACTGGCCGACAAAATTGTCCACGGTGGTCTGGGGTTTGGTGCGGCAGAGCCCGCAAAGGGTGGCGCGCAGCTCCTCCTTGAAGCCGAGGCGGGGCCACACCTCAAGAATCTCTTTGTACTCGTCGACGGTGATTATGGGGCCGCCGGGCACGGGGACGGGGAGGTTGGGCCCCAAGAAGTCAGCGGTGATGGCCGTCTGGGTGGCCAGGACCTCGGGCTCCTTGTATTGCGCGACGCTCGGGGTCGTGTGCAGCGCGATGGCGTCCCAGATCAGCTGCAGGCGGTGTTTGTCCCATTTCTTGCCCGGCCCAACGCCATTGGCGGCGGCGATCTCGGTGCGGAGGAAGTTGCGGGCAATCTCTGCGCCGTCGACCTCGAACCGTTTGTCGTTGGATATCAGGGACTGGGTCGTCGCCCAGCCCAAGTCGTGCAGCATGATGGAGAGCACGATAGCCTCCCTGTCAATGTCCGGGTTGGCTGTCAAGGGCGGGAGCTTGCGGAGCAGAATGAGAGCAAAGGCGACGCTGCGGACGCAGTGGTTGAGTGTCGCATTGGTACAGTTCTCTTGGACGTAGGTGTACGCGGCGTTGAACAGGTCGTCGGTGGGCATGGTGATTTGGGAGATGGGGAATTCTGGGAAGGATATGGGCTTGGAGGAAGACATGTTTGTCGATCGATTGATGTCAGTCCTGCGTGGTTCTCTGGTGTGCTTTGCCGATAAACAGCTCAAGGGAAGTAGACGTGGACATTACCTTCTTTATACCTTTTACTCTGAACCTACCTCCAGGTCTTCTCCTCTCTCCCTACCTACCTATGCTGCCCAACCTTTCAAGGCGCACCATGAAGGCGTAAGAATACTTACAATTGGAGCTGAAAAGTTCGCTCAACAGTAAAGCAAACTCTGTGGTCACAAACAAGGCTGACCCCCTTGCCCTGCTAGCCGGCTAGGACCTGCGGCGATCGACAACAAATAAGCGTAGGACTTAGTCTCGATTCCTCCGGATGGTTTTTCAGGGGAGGTATTATGGGGGGGTGGCCGGATTAACACGGCTTGCTCAAGATATCATTGGCGCATCTGGACAGATGGGCGGTGGAATGTCGTCCCGGTCCCCCCAACGGGGCACGCGGGGGGGTGTGCTACTTAGGCTCTGATTAACCGGAACAGGGTATCGTTCCTGATTCGGAGGGTGCCAGGGTGCTTATACTTGTAGTCCGCAGTCCAGCCAGCCAGCAGCCCGCCGCCACACGGGGGGGCCAAAAGAGACTACTGCCCTTTTTGGTGTGTCGCGGAATTAAAATATGGTACTCGGTACCCCTATCACAATTAAGAGGAATGTGTAGCATGAGACCCTAGACCGAGTACGAGGTATACGCATCATCATCATCATCGAAACGGGCGGTATTGCTTCCACAGTTTGCCTGCACCCTGCGGGCTTGCGGGATGAGGGGCTACGGAGGAATTATAATCCGGCATCAGGCCCTCACAGTCGTTTACGTTGTTAGACACTTTAGGTGCCTGTGCAAAGCTTTACTGACAACAGCACGTTACACAAAAGCTGGCCCTCCGATGCTATTCGATCTAAGTCTCCTAACAGGCCACCATTCATCCGGAATCCAGAGGCACCCATTTATTTTCCCTTTGCAGTCTCGTGCCCAAAAAGAGGCGCCGCGGGTAGAACGGAAAAAAGGGGGGGCAGCCTTGTGGAAGGGAAACGGCAAGGCCGCTTTGTCTGAGATGGTTGCGCGTGAGAACAGGTGAATCCGACTGAGAGACTCTAAAAGAGGAGGGAGTCGAAAGATGGTGTATGGTTTGGGTGGAAAAAGCCGTGATGACGGTGTTTTCTACCGAAATGCAGATACGAGTCGCGAGTTACTCGGGCCATTTCTGGCCAGGGCAACCTGCCACCCAAACTATGTTTTCTTGTCTTTTACTTTTTCCTCATTTTTTTCTTCCATTGTCTTTGTTTTCTATCTTCTCGGTTCCTCTCTCCGTTTTTGGTGCTTTCCCATTTCAGAAATAGTTCCCATACCAGTTTACTCATGAACGCTCCAGGTGAGGAGGCATGATCGTAGCCCGACTTCTCAATGCGACGTCTGTCAAATCAAGGCATATCGCTATTAACAGCCATGACGAAGCGCTTATTGAAATCAACAGGATGTTCCTCCGACTGGGAGCGGAAGGCTATGTCGAACCAGTCTTTCATCTCTTCTGTAAACGGAGTCATGACATTGCCGTTGGATTCAGACGACCCTTTGGCGACTGGAGTTCCGTCAGAGGCGTATAAAATGCACGGACTTACCGAGACCATAGACATAGACGCGACTTTCCTTCCCATTAACATCACACTTCTCGCGAGTACATACCATCGAGCCAAAGCGCCCGTAACATCCACTCTATGGCAAGAGACACTTGGTGAGGTTGTGATGGAGAACCGGTGCCGGCGAATTCGCCCAGTTTGCCGAAACTCACACTTCTTTGATTACTCCGGAGCAAGTCCAAAGGAGGCGGATGATTTTCATTCGGTGTTTTGGTCTCTACACATACTGCTGCCAGACCAGGCTGCATGAGAGCTTCGAGTACCTGTTGAATAAGGTCAGTACCAAGGTGTAAGTGCAGCAAAACCATCTTTACCTTTGACTGTCAGTGCTCTCACGGTGTTCCATGGCTCGATATATATGATTAACTATCATTTAATCAAACTGTCTCTAGTGGGCAATACTTAGTCTCCACAGACACATGGCTCCGTGCAGCAGCGTGGATTAGTGCATCCTCGACATTCCCCTTGTCCCAAGGCCGGCCACTGACCTGAAGCAAACACGCAATGCAGATCTAGAGATGCTTGACAGACGTATCTGATTTATGCACATTAGATTTTGGGCTTTGTTTTCTCAGTCTACTAGAGAAATTAGGAACATTGTCCAGATGACATTGCGAACGAAAAGCAAAAACTCTGCCACATCCTCCAGTTGAACAGGAGGATGTGGTGAGCTAAAACCCGGGTTCGCAGGGTTTTTTTTCGGTTCGGCGGAGGAGGAGGATGACGAGGTAGGGAGGTCAGTGATACTGACTGTATACCCATTGTACCTGTCTTTCTATCGCTCGGAGGGAGGATCGGTTGTTGACAATTCGTCATCAGAACGCCTGCAAGCCGAATGCTAGTTTGACCAGTTCTGGCGAGGAGTTGTGGAAGGATTTCTGTTGTGTTAATATTTATATATTAATAAAAAGTGGGGCTAATCAGGCCTGGAGGCTGACATATCTTGTCTCTTTTTCGGGCGCTACAATCTTTCTTTATGCTGCACACACTCGTACGTGGCTCGATGCATGGCATGTTGTTTGAATACCTCGGTAGGTGGATTATCTAGTCATTCGCTAGTCACTATACGCCATGCGCTATTCGCGGATGCGCTGTCCGGCCCGCCTTTGGGCACTTGTACAAATGAGGTATGAGGATGACGACATTAAGATCGAGCATTGGTCGCCTCACGCTCCGCTATACACGCAAGACGCCATTCCGCTACATCCTTCACATGTGCAATCCAACTCAGTCCATTCCGTCCGAGCGAGAAGAGACATCATCGTGTCTGTGCTCTCTCTTAATCCGTTGAATCGAATAACCAAACTCTCAATTTTCATCGAATTTCTGCGGTGGTCAAAATGCGACAACATTCATCCCCGCATTTCCTTGCGCTCTCCATCAGTCTCAGTCTGAGTCTCTGTCTAGTGACAACGCTTCTGCCTGCGTCGCTGGCGGAAGACCAGGTCCCCATCCACCAACACCCTCTATCAAAAACTCCGATCAAAGAGATCCCGCACGTTGGCTTGGGGCTATGGAATTCCAAGGACGAAGATGTCCGTTTCTCCCCTGTTATCACCACCGTCGTGTTGTTATTTTTGTATCGAAATTCCCCCACCATCGTAGAAACCCTGGGTTTTTTTCAACGTTTCTGAGAAGGGAACGCTTATCAAAAATGCTGACATTGATATTCCCGTGGGAAATTGTTACTGCAGGCTTCAAACGCTGTCGAATATGCTTTCGAGGCGGGATACAAACACCTCGATTCGGCTGCTGCTTATGGTAAGTCGGAACGCCTAACAACCCCAGGGAGATTTATTCGAGTCTTACAAAGATCCCATCCCTCCTCACTTGGGAAAGTATTGATCAGAGTTTGATCTTGACAAAGGTCATAACGAGGCTGACCACTCTCGATAGACAATGAAGACTTTGTCGGACGCACACTCGGCAATTCGTCCGTAACCCCCTCGCGCCACAAGTACTGGATCACCTCCAAACTGTGGAACACGGCGCACCAGCCCAAGAACGTGCGGCCGGCGCTGGAGAAGACGCTCCGCGACCTGCATGTCCCCTACCTGGATCTGTACCTGATGCACTGGCCCGTGGCGTTCTTGCCGGGCCAAAAACCCGGCCGCACCGTCATCGACCAGGACACGAGCATCCACGACACGTGGGCCGCCATGGAGGAGCTGGTGGCGGCCAACCTGACCCGGCACATCGGGGTGTCCAACTTCTCGCCGCGCCAGCTGGACAGCCTGCTGGCCAAGTGCAAGATCCGGCCGCTGGCACACGAGTTCGAGACCCACCCGTACCTGCAGCAGCAGGAATTTGTCGACTGGCACCTCAAGAACAACATCACCGTCATTGCCTACTCGCCCCTCGCAAACATGAACCCCACCTACGACGGCAAGTACTCGGACCTACCCCCCATCCTCGAGGACCCCTTCTGGACCGACCTCGCCGCCACAAAGAACGTCACCAGCGCGCAGGCCATCCTCGCCTGGGGCAGGCAGCGCGGAACCATTGTCATACCCAAAAGTGTGCATCGAGATCGGATCGAGGAGAATCTGAGGTCGCTCAAGGTGTCTTTCACGGACAAGGAGATGCTGAAGATCGTAGAGCAGGACAAGAGGTCAAGGTTCAACAACCCAAGCAAGAGTTGGGGTGTCGAACTTTTTGAGGACTTGGATGATGGCAGTAGCCGCTTCATGGTCGACGAGAAACTCTGACTGCTGCATGCTGACAGAAAAGTGCTTTGGAACAGCCGCATCGGAGCACAATTTAACCTGGAATTACCGGAAAAACATATAGGGAAGATCTGGGCACAATGAGGAAACATCAAAGGATGCAATGTTGTATATTTTACGCCTCTGTGTGGATACAAAACTTCAAGGTCATGACTTCAAAGACCAGCACCAGGACGTCCTTCGCTTGTTCGAGCACACCCCTTTGTTGACCTGTAGGATATACCCTCAAACCGTGCTCAATCACCACCACCTGAAAATGAAACAACGTCGCACCAACGCCCAACGCTTATGAACCAATGCAAGGGGTATGCGCGTAGCCATCATGTCCAGTCATGGCGAACTCCATAGCAATGGCCAAGATCGTGCTCGTGCACATTAACTCCATGTCTAGTCATCTAGATCCTGGTGACGAGCCAAGACCTTTCGCTGGAATTCCTCAGGGTCACTCTGGTGAAGTTGGGCGGCTTCGCTGTTCAGCGGACTAGAACTGCACTCGAGTATCAGTATCGCTGTTTATTTTTCAAACACGAGCAAAACCATACTTGTTGGGCTCTCCCAGTAAACTCTGTAGACTTAACAGCACGGTTTGGACATTGTAAACAGCACTCCACTTGTCCTTTAAAATGTCGAGGCATATCCTTCCGCTGAAGTCGATGTTGGGATGGTAGACCGGTGTCTTGAAAATGACGGTGGGGGCACGGTAAGGATAGTTGCTGGGGAATTCGAAGCTGAGTTTGAAGGTGAGGTCTGCGTAGGCTGTATCTCTGGGCCCGATCAGGGTGGCGGTCCAGTGCAACATGTTGCCGTCGGTGTCAGGAAAGGCAGAGATGCCCGGCGTGGGAGACATCATGAGGCTCATAAGTTCGGATTGAAGTCTGTGCTTGATAAGCCCCGTGCTTTGAGCGCAGTGAGGGAAGAGAGTGGTCCTACCGTTTGGTGACACTCTGGGTGTCTGCTTTCCTGGGCAAGGCACTGAGTTTCTGTTGCTCAGCCATGGTAGGGTATCCTGGAGCAGCGTTCTGTGAGTCCTCAAGCGAGAAATCCATGTTGGAGCTGTATTTAAGCTGCGGGCTGCAAGCGGCCAGAATGCGAGTAAAGGAATGCTGAAAACGGAAGAATGGTCTGGACAACTACAGTTTTGACAGCAGTGGTTGTAGACCCGCAATACGGAGAGTAATGACTGGAACTGAGGATAAGTAAAAGATGAAAAAGATGTCAAGATAATCAGGGAAAGTGAAGGGTGAAGTTGTCGAGTTGAGTCGTGCTTGTGCTGGCAAGATCGACTGCGCCCAAGAAAGTTACAAGTAGTAGGGAAGATTGTTTACCCTCAGTGGTCGACTTTTTGGTCGCTGTAGTAACAGCACTGTGAAGCAGTCCCCCAAATGACGTCGACCGCGCGTGGGGCGTAACCCGGGGCTTCGGTCAACCACTTCATTACTGTTGTCGCGCCTCAGTCTGTAACCCGACGCGTTGCTCCGCGTGGTAAACCATTTGGAGGCGCACCGCTACCATGGAATTACCGTCGTTTAATGCATAGCCTTGAACATTGTCCTGCTCGACCTGAACATCGTCGCCAACCTCCGTCATGAACGGGATCCCTCACTCTCAGTTGGCACCTCTGCCAACCCAACTGCCTTTCCGAATTGTCTCTCCCACCATCGGCTCTGGCGCATACGCATGGTATTCGACTCCCTGCCCTCAGTGTTGTAGTGCATTGGGGAAATTAGCTGATGATTCCATACAGCATCAAGAAAGCCGCTCCTCTCAGCGCCGATAATCCTGTCTTCGCAGTCAAATTTATCAATAAACTATTTGCACAGAAATATGGCCGCATCAAGCAAAAACAATTGGAGATGGAGATATCCCTACACAAGCATATCGGCCTTCACAAGAACATCATTGAGTTTTACCACCATGGTGATGACCCTGCTTGGTTCTGGATAGCAATGGAATTGGCCGAGGGCGGTGACCTTTTTGACAAGATTGAAGCCGATGCTGGTGTTGCAGAAGACATTGCACACGTCTATTTCACCCAGCTTGTCAGTGCAATCGGCTACATGCATTCTAAAGGCGTGGCTCATCGAGATATCAAACCCGAAAATGTTCTTCTGTCTGCGGATGGAGACCTCAAGATTGCAGACTTTGGAATGGCCACGTTATTCGAATACCACGGGCGGACGAAACTCGCAACTACGCTGTGCGGGAGTCCACCCTACGTTGCCCCAGAAGTCCTGTCGTGTAGTACGCAAGGCGGAACGAAGGGAAGTGGTTACGCAGCCAACGTGGCGGATATCTGGTCTTGTGGAGTGGTCCTGTTTGTTTTGCTTGCAGGAAATACGCCTTGGAGCAGACCAATCGAGGGTCGTGATGAGTATGGGAGGCCGAATGAGTTTAGCGAGTATGTCCAGAGCAACGGCAAGCCGTCTGACGAGTTGTGGGACTCTCTCCCCTCCGAGGTCCTATCCCTTCTTCGAGGTATGATGAGAGTCGACGTCAAAACGCGCTTCTCGCTTGAGGACGTG